GATGAGACCTAACTTTTGGATGGTATTGTCGCGAGTGTACTACCTTAATGCGTTTTATGATATTAAGAATCGATGACTTACGTCGCATGGCCCATCGATGGTGTTAGGGACAGCGTTCAGTGTGCAGATATGACTATTTGTCACTTTCCAATATGTTTCCTCGCATTTTTTCTGCGATTCGACTACCAAATCAATTTTTCGCAAGCTGTTCGACATATTTCCACCATCCTGAAAAGGGTAATTGCATCAAAATGTCATTTATTATTCCTAGCTTGTTATTATACATATAAAACGGAAATAATATTAATGCTCTTTAAAGAATATATAATTTTTGAATACAATTATTTAACTGTAAAATCTTCGTATTACGAGTTTAGCTTACATATATACTTCCCCATCCGGTTAACGTGCACTGCAGGCCTTCAGAAATTTCATCGGATTTCGTAAGATTTATCGGTTGCACTAACTTGAAATATTTGATAGGACTTTTAAGATGAACCAAGGCGATGTCATTAATGAGAAAATAATCATCGTAATTTTGGTGAATCCTAACATTGGCTACGTCATAAACAAATACTGATTCGTTTAATAAGTTTGAGCCAACGTGAACCGTTAATTCGTCCGGTGAACATCTAACGTCCGGTTTTGATCTAACAATAAAAACAGTGCGTAAGAACTCTCAAACTTTCAAGAATAGTAATAATTGTTAGTACAATAGATATTTTGTCGATAAAATACCAGTAGAAACATAATAGAATTTGCTAACAAAATGTAATGGATTGATTGCGGAAATTAAACAGAATCTGTCGTTTAGTAACAATTTAAATAATGTACTACATTTAAATGTTGTAAAAGTGATACAATCTGTTCGATTTCTGTCGATGGTCTGCTGTTAAATTATATCGGCATACTCTTGACGAAATGCGTATTTAACATATACGTAAATGATATCGAATGTGTATTGTAATATTTGAGCAAATTTGCTGCTAATTTGTCATACTATGAGCAATTTGTTTACTAGGTATATATTACGTACATCGTGTCGATTTGACATATTAAAAAACTAGTTTTAAAATTAGATTTCACTATAATAATATATTGATATAATTTAAGAATGTTTAACATACCTGAGAACACAACTTGCTGCAGTTAATACATTAAGATTATCAAGGATAGATCCACCGCATATATGCAATCCGTTTAATCTCAATGACGCTTGATACGGAAATTTGCCGAAGGCAGCGTTACTGCCGCCAATAATTTGAGA